GGGAATTTATCGTGCCACGTGCCTTTAACTGACCCCTTTCAGACGTTTTTGCTACGGTGGTTCCTGAAACGACACTGGTAGCTATGAAAAAGTTCGATAGACTGAAGACGGAACGACTTCAGAAATTGAAAGATCGGCTTTCTGAACAGACCGAATTGATGGATGGGTGAGTTCGACAGGCAGCCTCGAAGTTGACCTCTTAAGCAGTAAAGTGGCCCCAGATCAGTTCAGCGAGATCAGTTCCTAAACATAACCTGGTGCTCGTCACCCTTTATAGCTTTACCGAATGGCACTCAGCCAAATTTGTACAGGCCACCTTGTGAAGGCTTGAACATTCCTATGACCAAAGTATCTCACTCGTACCATTTCGCAGCTTCACAGAAGTTTGCGGATCGCATCATGCCATTTGATATGAACTAAAAAGGAATTAGCGAAGTTCAGTATACTATTCGAGCGTCCGAAATACTTCTTCGTGGTGTGAAGTGGCTAGAATTCCGTACACTGGGGCCGTCTGACCCTCCAGACATTAGAACCACACTGTTCAGTCAGAAAACGCTTGGTACATATGCTACGAGCTCCAGTTCCAGAATTGACCTTTGAGGGGGTCGTATTTGACTGCGAAGGAACGGTTATTTGGTCTAAGAGAAGTTTTTTTGATAGCTGATTTCTCTTCTTTCACGGACGCTTTGAGGGGAGCGCGGTTGTATTTGCCCCTTGTTGGGAGAAAGGGGGGGGGGGGGGGTGGAGTCTGTCCTTGAGGGGAATTTGCGGCGTCGGGAAAAAGTTTTCCTGTTGCTGACTTTTTGCGGTTCCCGTTTCACTAGTGTTATACACCCCCCTCCCCCATTTGTTCCTGACGACCCACCACTCTTCCGCTCGACAGCAAAATTCTGGGGAAAAACTTAAGATTATTCGGGAAATGTCGTGAAAACTGGAAAAATCTAGGAAAGAGGTGGGTAGGATGTAGAGGGGAAGAGGGGAGGGTTGTATCAGAGGATGGAATTGGGGGGGGGGAATCTTTTTTTGCAGGAATTCGTCACAACGCGAAGGCGTGCCCTGCCTGTGATGCCGCCACCTGTGGCGCGATTGCCAAGCGCTCTGGTTTCGCACGAATGCGACCAGGCACACGTCTGATTGCTGATCCCCCTCCCTAAGTCATGGCGCGCGAAATGACTGTACAACTGGCTTTTCTTGGTGTGAAAACTTCTGTACTTCAAGCTCCATCCCGCATCCCCCCCCCCATCTCGCTTGGCACCATTTCCGGAGTAAAGTTGGAAAATCTTGGAAAAGCAGCAGGAAGTTGGGAATGCTTGACAAGGTAGAGGATAGCATGGGAAGGGGGAGGTCGTGGCAGGGAAGGAACCCTGATTGGGAAGTGGAGGGAGGGACAGACGTGTTCCCCGAGTTTTACACAACGTGATGATGTGCCTTGGATGCAATAATTCATGTTAGGAGTCCAGAATATCCAGAAGGTTCCGGCCAAATCTGCCACCAGCGGAAACCCTTGATCTCAGTGTTCGGAAAAGTGAGGCAGTAAAGCGTGAATGGTGACGCCCACAATCTTCGTAGGAATGGAACATTAACCCATCAGAGGCTCAATTCGATCCACGGACCGCCGCCAACGAGTTTCACCCAGATATTCCAACTTTTCAAGAAAATCTACCTGAGCAAGGCGGTCTAAAGCATATACGAAGAGCAATCATGTCCTAGTTAGCGCATCGTTTAACTGAAAGCTAGTGGGAATGACGGTTAGGGCGGGCGGTTACGGTCAACGTCATTCATGGAAGGGCTGAATGGCGTGAACGGACTGTGGCTGAACACATTCTCACAGCCCTTCCATCAATGTCGTTGGCAGTGACCGCCCTCCTCAGCCATCGTGCCTACTGCCTTTGAACTAAGGTCTTTGGTTACCCAACATGGGCACCCAGGTGTGCAAAACCTGCCACAACGTAACTGCAGAGAAGGATCCCAAATTCACTTGTCATTTATCACTAGCCATGGGAAATCAGCTGACAGTCAGCTGATCGATAAAGTCCAATCCAGCAAATATAAACATTCAGTATTGTGGCGTCATTGAACGTACCAGATGTTGTACCAGATGATGTCAAGCGCAAATCGATGGAGGTAGGATTCTTAGAATCGTAGGAATCGATGTCTATCGACTGATTTTATTGATTGAATATATCAACCAAGCAGGTGAGAGAAGCCGGTGGAATGGCGAACATGAGCAGGAAGCTCAACGAGTTGACCGCTTTACACAAACAGAACAGTGACTTGCTAGCCGATGTCAGTCCACTTTCCTTATTGTTAGTTGTTTCAGCTTATGTACCCTATCGATCGATTATATGGAATTTTGCAGAGAAGCTCTGACAGTTTTTCCTATCAGAGATCCTGTATGATCTAGAAATATAAAATCAGCTGTTTCACCGTGGTGGTTCACAACTTGCAGCCGGCGTTCAGCTTTACCGTCGCTCCAGAATGCATGCCAGCGCAAGGGTAAAGTACGGACGTCGCTTTGGTGACACCTTGGAATCCTCTTGATGTAACGACTCAGAAGTCCACCATATGGCCACCAATATCAGCCAAGAGGTGGGAGAGAGGACTGTCCTCTTCTATTTCCCAAAGGCAAGGTGAAAGCACTTGTACAATGGGGCCGCAAAAGCCCATGGGTGCGCCATCGCATGAGGTCTCGTGACATGCAATCGCAGTGGGCACTTTTGTGCGAGGGTCCAATGGCATTCGAAACCAAAACGAATGGTTTCCTTTATTAGGAGCTTGTACCCACTCAGTTTTTCTGAAGGATACACGACAAAGGGTGTACCTTTTAGGCAAAAGATGCGGTCCCCACGTCAATGACGTTTCATGACATTCATGCGATGTCTCACAAGGTGCCCGACATGTCTGCCCAAAAAGGGGCATAGCATTGCTATATGAAATCAATCAGGGGGTCTCACTGTCAGTGGGTGAGGAGGGACAACAAGTTCTTGGCCTCGAGAAGGATTTTTTTTCCGCAATTATGGCTTTTTCTCGTCTCGACACGCACTATCCGTGCTCCTAGTTGGGGATACGACATATCTGCTACTTCTGATAGTTGATAAGATCTAGGATGCTTTCCTTTGCTCCGCCCTCCCCCCCCCTCGACTACCGGCAAAGTTCTAGGAACTTTTAGCGAGATGGTTGGTAGGATTGGAAACGTGCTAGTAGTGCTAGCGCCATTTCATCCATAGCGACTGCACACTCTAACATTAGCGCCCACTCCGATTCAGAGTTATCATGACTCTTGTTCTAGACCCAGGTACAGCATCGTGATGTGTGAAGTGGTGGGGTCACTGTGTGTCACACCCCCCCCCCCTACGTCGAAGGAGAGCGTCAGTACGACCCAACACCATCCTATCACTTTCCCAGAATTCCCAGCTTCCGGTCGGATCTCTCCAAAAAACAACAAGCGGGACCACTTGTTTTCCAACGCGGCAAAGTCCTCATAAAGCCATATACCGCCCCCCCCCCCCCTCGACTACCGGCAAAGTTCTAGGAACTTTTAGCGAGATGGTTGGTAGGATTGGAAACGTGCTAGCAG